AATATAAATATAGATGTAATATAGATATAGATATAAATATAGATGTAAATGTATTGCACAGGTCCCTGGCATATATTGCACAAAAGTGGTTGTAAACGGGAAAAAGAAAAAGAAAGAGAACAGATGTAGCAGTAGATGTGTATATGCGTTTAGTCCAGAAACTGGTCACTGTCGATGTTGCCTCTGCCAAGACGCAAGGTGGTATCTTCGTAAAGCAGTTTACAGGAAAAGACGGGAACAACGTTTTGCAAATTAATGATAACTGGTTACTTCCCCCCTGTTCTGTTTGTTATTGACATGGTTATGAAAGTGTAGCTACTGCAAATTGTTATCGCTACTGGGTCCTAAGCTCTACTGTGTATTGTTTTCGTGCCTTACGCCACGTTGTCGCATATTTTGTCTAGGGGTTGCAAAAAAGTTGAACACCTGAAGTTTGGGTGGCAGGCAACTTAAAGCAACGTTTCTTGTTTTTGACGGACGGATACACAACAGTGTGCTAAGGCTCCTGACGGTTAGAGGAGTTCCGTAAGACTTCGGGGAGCGAAACTGTGAGAATAAGCAATAGTGTAAATTACACTGCAATACGACTCCGGGAGGCTAAAAGTTCTCAATATTGAGTGACGTATAGAAGAAGAGGTTTATATATTTTTCCTCAAAGAGTTTCGTTATTGCTCAGCGGTTAAATGAAGCCCCTATCAGCAGAAAAAAAGCAGATTTCCACAGTCTCCTGCCGCAGCAGCTTGCGGACGTTACAATAACTACACAGTACCTGCTGTCCCTTGTTGCGGTCCGTAGTGCTTTAATCTTTCCCTAAACAGAAACATTTCGCGTCACTGTGTCCCATACGACCGCGATCGCGTTTGCCAGAAATGTTTCCGAGAAGCACGGCTCTGAATTTAAAATGACTGAAAGCGTCTTGGAGGAAGGGCTTGGAGATACAGCCCGACAGCCATTGCTTGGAAACCCGGACGCCTCAGTCCGTAAGTCGGGCATACTGTAGAAGAAACTGCAAGCTCTAGGAAATGGGAATATTATTTTGCCACGGAAGATTCTATCCACATCTGGATTAAAAATTCACAGCAACACCCGTGTGTTATAAAGGGATGAGCTGTATTAATCTCTGTAACAGTATTTGCATGATTATTGTTAGTTTGTTTCGTTTTATTGTTGGACAAAATACTCAAAATTATCATGGGTTTGATGGCACTGTGATTTTACTTGTAACCTGGAGCAGAAATACAGTATCAGTATCAATTGTTTTCTTAAGCAGTTTGTGTTTGTTGTTGCAATAAACTTAATTTACGTGTTTAAATAAATTATATGATTTGATGAAAAAACCTTTAAGGTGAAAAGGTAAATAATATGCATACAGGCAAAAGTGTAAATTTAAATGTTTATTAACATGTCACGTATATGTCTGACTTGATTTCTACTTTGTTAAGCATTTTATGGCCAAAAACCCAAACAGTGCCGTAAACTCAATATTTTGGACTTCCAGGAATCAAGGACAAGATTCATTTTTTGCTTTTTATTTCTAGATTTCTATTTACCATCCAGGGTGTACCCTGCCTTGTGGCTGTTGCTAGCTCTCCCATGACCATGTATTGGATAAAGCAGTTAGAAAATGGACGGATGAATGTTGCAATGAAAGGAGATTCCTGTTTCACTAGATGTCAAAATGTGTTTTGCAGGGAAGAATGGGAGGAATTTTGATGAAGAAGATGGGCAAACCAGATTCTCCTATGAAGAAGCGGTTGAAGAAACAGGTACAAGAAATACAAGCAGCATACTTAAAGACCAGTCAGACTACTTTGGGGGTACTGTATGGATAAATATAATAGAAACACTAAACACAATAAAATAAAGGGTACTAATTGAGATCTTGTACAGTTAACGATGGCTTTTTTGTTTATGAATGCTCAGGCTTAAATATTACTAGCAGGCGGCAAAACAGCAGTGTCATTTAAACGAAATGGCAAACTCTTATGAAAAACAAACCGTTTAACCGTTCAAACTTTGGTTCCTCTTCACAGGTCTTTTATTGTTCTTCCTCCTCATGTATTAAGCTATCAAGACATTTTTAGAAAGAAAAAATCGAGAGATTGAGAAGGTAACTTCTTCACTTGAACAGTTAGGTGGAGTTTACATATCCAGAGTACACTGGAATCAATGGGGAAAAAAAACCCAAATACTTGTTTCTAACGTCCACTAATGCCTTGGATCTTCTTTTAGGTTTTTAATTAAATGTTCAATGAAGAAAAAAGAGATATAAGAGAGAGGTAATATATGAGTGCTCTATATTTTTGGAAAATTATTAAGTACTGGTTAACATTTCCAAAGTCTAGGGGTCTACTTTCAGTTTAATATGTATATGGCATGTACTATTACAGCTTTGCAAATATTTTATTTACTGTATCAGCAAATTCCTTACTGTGAATTGTAAAAATATCAGAAGAGCCAATAAACTGTATTGTGTAATGGCTATCGCCAAGCCTTGGGGGATTGTTCTTGTCCGTGTTCCTACAAATGTAGTGTTAAACTAGATTAATGCAGTTAGGCTGGACCCATGTGGTTGTAGGGGATCATATTCTTTTTATGTGCTGAACAATTACTTACGGCACGTCGCGCAGTTTCACGCAGTGACCAGGGGAAATCCTGCAGAAACAGTGTCTTCACTTCACAAGGGTTGCTTTGTTCCAGTGTCTCCCAGTCTCTTCAGATGCTTTAACACCTACTGTATGCTTGTCTTTTCAGAGGAAGGCCTTTTCAACAGCAGATATGACAGTATCTTGTAAAAGTGTTTTTAAGTCCATACTCACATTCCCTTTAAACTTCATATGCCCTGTTTAAGGGGCCTTATTTCATCTTGGCAGAAGCTATTACACGTGTTTAATCTGAACATTATTATGGTGCTTTTTTCCATCTTTCCCTCCTTCTCCCACGGCAGGGTTTGGTCTGTTCCACGGTGCTCTGTTGGTAGTGTGCGGATGGGCCAATGCCAGTGATGCAGTGGAGATCCTTTGCGTTTCTTTCCTGTTGCCTACGGCACGCTGCGACCTGCTGCTCAGCTCCTCCGACATGGGGCTGCTCACGGCCAGCATCTTTCTAGGTACACAGTGCTGAATCTGAGGGGCTGCTGTTTGTTTGCACCTGTGCTTGTGTTTGCCTCGTGTTTACAGCTGTTGGCAATATATGTGTGTGCTCTATATTCTTAGGCAAATGATAACGTTACGTATAGGTTTGTATTTCCAGACTCCAGGGTGGTACTTTCAGTTTAATGTGTATATGGCATGCTATTACAGGCTTGTGAATATTGTATTTGCTGTATCGGCAAAATTCCTTACTGTGAATTGTGAAAAATATTAGAGATCCAGAGGCACATTTCTTAGTAGTAAAAGCAATGCCACCTTCTGAAGCCAGGGCTATTCTGCTCTCCATAACAAACAAAAAACATTTCAATTGCACAGTGAACTGCAGACCCATGTAACCTATGCTAGATCAGATATTCCAAATGAAAAGATGAAATCACTCAATAACGATCTTCTTAATAATATCTTTCATCTTATTTAAGGTGAATTTTTAGGGAATCTTACTCCCCTCCCACAATACGTAAACTCACATATTTGAAAACAACAAATGGGAGAGGGAAAAACTCTGTCCTCATGCACTCCTTTTTAATACACTAGAAGACTTTCAAGTACTTGTAACAGCTAAATTATACAAGAAAGTGGCACTTGTGTAAATCCTCATTTCATATTAAAAAAAAAAAAAGCTCTTTAGAGTATTGCCTCTGAAAATTCTGGACATTAATCCTGTTAAGTAAAACTTGAAACTCAAGAAACTGAATGGAGCTTGGAGTTCGTCTGCGCTGTATTCTGTGAGAAAGCAAACAATGAAGATATGAAAGATGAATTGGTTTCCACTGGGATGTGCTTCTGTGTCTTCCACTGCAGGGATGATGGTTGGGGGTTATGTGTGGGGCTACCTGGCTGACCAAAGGGGGCGCCGCAGAGTCCTCGTTCTCTCACTGACTGTGAATGGTGTTTTTGGAGCACTGGCAAGTCTGGCTCCTATGTTTTGGCTGTTTCTTCTGCTGCGTTTCGTCAGTGGTGTTGGGTAAGTGTCTGTGTCAGAATCGGTGAGCTAGTGAACAAGATAGGGGCTTATCATGGTGGTTCTGGGTCTTGACGTGGGTCTGTTTCTGTCAATGATGAAAGTTTGTTCCTGGCTGTGGCGGCTCAGGGTCCTAACCTTTACCAAACACCCATGAACCCCTTTAATACACTGTAGAATTTCAGCACTGCTGTCTAAGGAAGGCTTAGGATGTTCTGTCTCTTTCTACATGCTAATAATACATGCTGCAGTTCCATTAAAACTCACTTCTACTGTCAAGGAATCATACTGCTGTTTTTCTTCATTTTACAGCATTATAGAGATTTGAAAATTAATAAATAATCATTATCCAGCAATGTCAAATGCAAACTGGAGATCTGTTGATTGTCTAACCTGCAGGATTGCCTTGGAGATTCTAGAAAATAAGCTGTTGGGACAGTTTCGACATCGTGCATATAGCTCATTGCCTCTCATGCACTTCTGCAGGATTTTGCGTGAGCTTAAGGCTCACGAATGTGCCCCTGACTAAGAGAAAGGAAGCCATGAAAAGCATACTATGAAGTACTATTATCCAGTTAAAACTCCACAATTGTCTGTGTTCTCCGTGCTCATGCTGGCCTTTTTCCCCTGCAGGGTTGGAGGCTCCATTCCAGTCATCTTCTCCTACTTCTCCGAGTTCCAGGCACGCACCCGGAGAGGAGTTATGATCAGCGCCTTAGCCACTTTCTGGATGGCCGGAAACATACTAGCAGCAGGTATCTGATCGGGAGTACTCCAGTCATCTCCTCTTTGTAACCTGTTAACAGGAGTAATTGAAGAAAATAAGTGTTTTTAAAAGATTAAGGTAACAATTGCTCTGGAAGCTGAACACTGGACTGTAGTGGGTATTTATTAATTACCAAATGTACCCTCTCAGTATGTTGTTGCCATATGTATGTTAACATGCACACTAGTCTGTGATCATTTAGTCACTGGTTGATCCATGAAAGAATACTGAATGACTGTTGAAGATATTAGTACCCATCTTGTAACATCTTGTTACAGTTTATTACTGTGTCAGAAACCATAGTCTAAAGAAAGGTTCCCCCTTAAGCTTCCCAAAATAGAAAGGAGCTAAAGCTTTGTAACAGTGAAACTGGACAGGGGGAAGAATCCAGGCAAGTTGGATTTCTCTGGTATGCAATGGCATTTACAGGCTTTTCTTGTTCAATGAGTGCCCTGGGATCTGTAGTACAGCTCTGCATAGATGTGCTTCATTAGGTTATCGATTTAGGTTGAAATGCCGAACAGCTTCTGTTTTTACTTCAGTTAGAACATATTGACCATTGTGATCAATGTGAGCTGAAGGACAAATGAACACTTAGGCAGCTCTTACAGAATTCAGGTCACATATTGCACTCGTTGTTTAACTGCATGACATTATTCAAGGTGAATAGTACAAAAGTAATTTGAGAGAAGCACAAAAAAATATGGTGTGTCAGACACAGTCAGCAAATTAGAAAAAAGAATAATCGAAACATTTTTTCCCACCTGTATATCAGTTTTAACAAAAACTGTTTCTTTTGTTCCATTTTTTTTCAACTTCATTCATTAATCATAAGGATATGCACAAGATCCATGCTATTTATTGAACTAGAAGTAGATGAAGTCTGTTCAACGTCTTGTCAAAGTCTGTGCCTGTGGAAGATGGGATATTTTGCCCTTAACTGTGAGCTGTCATCACAGGCTTGGCTTGGCTGGTGATTCCAAGCACTTCCCTGAGTTTCCAGCTGGGGTCTCTGCAGTTCCAGAGCTGGAGGTTGTTTGTGGTGCTGTGCTCCATCCCCAGCCTCTCCTCGGCTCTTGTGTTTGGACTGGTTATGCCGGAGAGTCCCAAGTTCCTTATGGAGGTACGGAACTGAAATTGAGCAAAGCTTTTGTCTATCATCATTTCCCCCTCCTAGCTAGGGGCTGTAATTAAGTCCATACATCAGTTATGTCCTATCCAAATCACCATAACCTCTGATCAATCCAATACAAGCAGACGTTGCTTAACCCTAGAACCCTTGAAGTGGATGGAGCTCTCTTGAGATTCCTAGCCATATCTGTTGCAGCTTGTGTGACCTTCCTAGTCATTCCATATGATGGGGTGGCCAAGATCAGACCTGGAGAAGCGCAGCCCAGCATGTCTCATAGGTGACTCTTAATTCATGAGTTTGTAAAGATAAATTAGCATGATCGTACTTACTGTCCCCCCCACACACACTCCGTTTTGTTAAAAGTGAAATTTCTATAAATATAGGTTTATTCCATGCTGAAAAAAAGAAGAAAGAAAACACACATTTCGGCCGTGGAGCCTTCTTCAGGTGTCAATTCTGGACATTCGTCTGTGCTGTATTCTGTGAGAAAGCAAACAATGGAGATTAGAAAGATGAATTGCTTTCCATTGGGATGTGCTTCTGTGTCTTCCACTGCAGGGATGATGGTTGGGGGTTATGTGTGTGACACCTGAAGAAGGCTCCACAGCCGAAACGTTGTGTTTTCTTTCTTCTCTTTCCAGCATGGAATAAACCTATTACTTGTTCCTTTGCAGCCTACGCATGCTGACGCAGCTACCCACCTGAACTTTCTATAAATATGTTTAAGGTTCACAGTGTGGATGTGAGGCATGGAAGTGCTTTGATTCACTACCGGGATTTATATAAATATATGACACTAAAATGCTTCCCTGCTGTACCTTCTCCTTAAAAGCTCTTGATATGAAGTCGTTGTGCTTGAATGTATTAATAAACACAGCAAAACACCAGAACCAGAGGTTTTCAGCTTCTTTTGGTGAAAGACACCCTTTTAAGATATCCCTCCTCATATGTGTCCTTGATCTACGCATAATTTTAAATTGAAGCCTTTAAATATCGCCAATATCTATTATAAAATGTTAAAGGCAGAACTGCAGGTGTGAAAAGTACATTGTCCTCTGGTTGATACTCCCCCTGAACAATGAGATAGGCAGACTTAGAACACATTTTTATAATGGCAGTGTGAAGGGTGTAGATACTTCTTTCTGTTTTGAACAAGTTCAGGTCTGCTGTTGACGTTCCTTGTACATTATTGCACAGGCTGGACGAGAAGCTGAAGCCATCGCAGTCTTTCAGAAGATGTTTATGTTCAATCACAGAGGCGATACCAAGCCTTTTCCGGTAAGCAGTTTGGTTTTGCTGCTAACTGTTTTTTTAATAATGATCAGATTAGTGCACAAGTTTCTCACACCAGTTCAGTTTATATGGGAGGAGCTTTTCCATGAGGTAAACCACATTTATAAAAACACATATGCAAGGAACATGGCAAAAATCTTCAACATGAACTGTGGAGAATGGCATTTCTGTAGTGCCATTATTATTGGCTGCTTATTCAAAAATTATGCAGAATGCTGATGTAAAGGAATAAAAAAGTCAAATTACCAACGTTTGGTCTCCTGGTTCAGGTAAAAAAAATTAAAAGAATAATTTGAATAGTGTTCCAAAAATCCATAAAAAGAAAAAAAATATTCTGGCACATGTACATTAAAACGTCACTGATGGTGACCCCTAATGTTGTTTATCTAATCATAGATTCTATTAATTATTTAGTCAGCAAAATACAGTATTTTGTTCTGGGACAGCCAATGGCTCATAAAAGAAGATCACATTCTTCTTGCTCCATAGAAAGAGAGAGATGTATTTCTTTCACCACTCTGTTCTCATTTTTTAAAGAGCTTTTACTGTTTATCTTGCTATGCTATTTTTATTTCGGCCTTTTCTTTGCTAAGTTGCATGGCACATTTCCTGCATCTAAAATGCTGTGTTGCACAAATTCCTTTTAAAAGCCAAGGCAAGCCTAATTAAGCACAGGAATCCAGAAAGATGTAATGCCCAGAATTGTTGCGTTGCTGTTGGCATCGTGCATGTGCACCAAGCGGTTTAGAACATCAGGATAATTTTAATAGACTGAACAAAGTTCATTACCTGCTCTGAATCAAGAGTCAGATGTTTCAACTTTTTGATTACAACGTGTAAGACCTTCATTTTTGCCAGCTCTTTGGATGTCTAGATCTCTTGAGCTTGGGAAGGGATATAAAACAGGCACTTATTAATTAAATACCCAGCCTCTTATATCTAAAAGGAGGTAGAACGGAGATTCTGATTGTCAGTGTTTTAAGAACAGAGGACACATATACCTTATATTATGTTCCGTGATGTATTGGATGTGAAATAAAGATTAATGACAGAATTTAGGTGGTTTTAATGTTTTTCAGACCTGTAATATATTCTCTTGCTTGGCTGCATGACAGGACTTTAAAACGGGCAGTGCTGATCTATCGGCTTCTCTCGGAAAACTGGCTTCTGCTTCTCTCTCTTACTACTTTCTACCCTCTAGTGGCATTCTTTGGTATTGCAGCAGATGGAGCTTCCCCTTGAGGTACAGTAGGAAAACCTATTCTGGAGGCTGGTGGTGGGGTGGGTTCTTCTTTTCTGATGAAATGGTCTAGAAAAGGACCCTTTCGACACACTGCTGCAGAGCAGCATCTTCTGAGGGTGACTCGTGGCAGTCATCAGGCACTCACTGCCTTACTACATTGCAGGTTAGGAGAAAAACGCCTAGCTAAATGAAGGGGAACTTCAGGTAGGCCAGGTAGAGCAAGCCCAGAATTTTATTTTTCTGAGGACACCGGGCCTAACACCCCTGCTCTGCCCTGTAGATGGTGCTATGGGATCATTCATGTGCCGGTACTCAGGACCTCAGGTTAACTTCAGGTTACAGTGCAGAGTTCCTAGTTATCATACTGGGGCCTTGGTTTGGCAGTTCTGGTTCAGACTGAAGAGTGCCACGCTGGTCCAACAGCAACCACTTACAGTGAAGCACGCTTTCTTAGAGGGCTCTCATCCTGGCGCTGACCAACAGCAGCCTTGTTAAGCCTCTCTGACTCTGTATAGAAGAACCTGAAGACGGTTTCATAGCTGATGTTGTTTATTCTTCTTTCATTTTACTTTTTTCAACATTGTTATTGATTTTCTAAAAAAATGTTTGGTGAGTCCCTGTATCTAATGAGGTAGTCACTCCCTTCCTTCAGGAGCTCTCTGGTTTAAAGACCAGCAGAGGTATGGTTTGTATGAATCCAGGGGCATAAAATTAAGACAGTAGTTATGCACAAGTGGTTCTAAATATTACAGCTTCTGGCTTTTATTGTTTTCTGTTGACATAAAACCTGGCTATGCCTGTCAGTTATTTTAATCCCATCTAAAGAGACCAACCAGCATTCTTCTAGATCAGCCAGTAAATGGATAAGAAGGGGCCTTGTTGCTTCTTTCAACATTGGGCAAAATGTCACATTTTACATGTTTAAGATTGCCTTCAATAATTTTAAGTTTCTAAATGTCTGCAGTTAACAGCCTCAAGAAATAATTACAGAAAGCTCAAAACACTGTTTAAAAAGGGTGATTTAAATACATTTGTCATTTTTTAATTAATTGTGTTAGCATCTTAAACAAAATAAGTAATGCAATGATTTATTTTCAATGAAGATTGCAGTCCTAGCACTAAGTGTCTGGAAGATAATTACTAAAACACACACAGGGACTATGGGAGGCATTAATGGAGGCAGTTCTATGGTTGTAACTAATTTGTTGTTTTTCTCTCCCACAGATATCAGGATTACGCATTGTTTCTGGATCTCATAAAGAACACGTAGTGCCCAACACAAAACTACGCAGGCTCATCCACACACTTAAAGAGGTAAATTGTTTACTGAGCTGAATGCGAGAAGTCAGAAATGCTTGCATTTGTGGTTGTATCCAGGGGCTAATTGCAGTATGCTTTTAGCCAGTCTTTTCACCCTGTTTTCAGACTAGCATAGGCTTTTAAAAAAACATATTTTAAATTACAGGCTCCCCTTTACTTCAGCTTTGGAAGAGACATAAAAAAACATCATTGAATTTTTTGCACTGTACCAGTCAGATTCGGAGTTCGTTTCCTTTCTAAGAAAGGACTGTTGAGAGAAAGAAGAGCTGTGTTCTACTACTGAACTAACTGCTTTTATTTGTCTTTCAGGGCTTGAGTCCCATTGGCAAACTCTTTACTACCCCACTAACATCACGGAGTGTCATTCTCTTTGTCATATTCTTCAGCATATCATTTGGGTATGTTTGCAGGCCTACTCTGTACACTCAACTGTGTTCCTTTTTTGCTTTGAACCAGTTATCTTTTATTTTACAGTTCTGAGTGGCGAATTATTCTTTGTACACAGAGCATTAACATTAATGCATCACTCAGCAAAACCTCAGGTGCGCAGGTGGGTCTAGCAGTGGGGTCAAATCCTCTTTAAGCAGTGAATCAGATTTTCGTAGACCACCCTGATGGACATCAGCGAGTGTGATGCAGACATGCAGAGCGCTAAGCAAAGTGTTGTGTAAAACAGACCCATCAATGGGGAGGTACAAGTGTGATGCTCTAGAGTAGATGGCCACCTGACTGCATGCTGCTGCATTGATTACGTCCCGGATCCTCAACTGCTGCCTTTCCTCATAGAGCAGTGAACTCATACATGCTTATTGAGGTGAAGTAGAACAGGACTGAGCACTTATCACAGGACTGAATTTGCTCTCCCAGTGTTAAACATGCATCACCGATGAAAAGCTCGTATTGACTTCCAATGGTGACTTCCAAGTTGTGACTTTCACAGTAGAACCCTCCTGTTGATCGTTCCTGTACATGATATTATCAGCATATTTTGAACTTGAACTTGCTATAGAAATTGTAATTTTTCTGAGAATGCTGTGCACTTCTTGCTGTTGTATTCTTTTGACACACAGTATATTTTACAGGTCTTTATGGTGGCATTTTCTCCATTCTGTATGTGAATGTGGCTTTGGAGGTACATTTAAGAACTGAAATAGTTTTAATGGCATGTTTGTGTGGTGTAGCTGTTAACCTGTATAAATGATAAGTTATTATGCAATTGTGGTCAAATACTCCATCAGAAAACCAAATGAACAAAGTGCAAAGAAATTGCAATGACCAAAGATTGAAGATATTGAGGAAAGTTTTTTTTTTTTAAATAGTATGTTTTTTAATTTATAGTTTAAATTAAAAAAGGGTAACTTGTTACATATAGCCTTTCACTTTAAGGGAAACTAGATCAGATCGCACTGGAAAGTAGACAAGGATCTCCGCCATGACACCAATGCGTTCATATAAATTAGCATCTCAGCATTTGGCTCACTGTCTTGCCTTGCCTGGGTAGGTATTACGGCCTCTGGATGTGGTTTCCAGAGCTGTTCAAGAGGACAGAGGATGGAGGCTCCCCTTGCTCCAACGTGTCCCGTTCCTCCAGTGTTCACCCTGAGAACCACACCTGTTATCCTGTCCAAACTGCAGGTGGGCGTGCTCGCCACTGAGTTGACCATGTCTCGAACAAATATATAGCTGTGGCCTCTTACACTGTCACACGGCCTTGCTGCATTTGAAATTGTCTGTTTTCAGTGGTTCTTTCTAGTAATTCTATAAAACTGTTAATTAATTCATACAACAATTCCATTGTTACACAGCAGAAAGACGTTGTTGTATGTTCTGAACGGGGTGAAGGGAGGTATCAGGAGCAGTATCATTGATTGGCTGGTCAGTTTATTGGCTGGTCTTCTGTTTATTTACAGTGTATATGGAGGGCTTTGTCACAGCTGCTGCCAATCTGCCAGGCAACATCCTTACCATCCTGCTAATGGACAGTGTGGGAGGAAAGGTCTTAATTTGTGAGTATTGGGAAAGATCAACCTGAATTCAAGGTTTTCCCATGACACTGTCATAAATGGTTTAACTGTATGCTGAGGGACCGTTTTAAAATGGTCAATTCAACATCACTGTGAAGTACGTTAGAAAATAGAAGGGTTTGATCACGTTTTTACTATAGAACCTGGTAAGTCTGCAACAACATACATGTTGGTGAAATGTCATTTTTTTCAGCAATCACTAAGACCTCCTTAACCCTAGATGTTTTGAAAAGTAGAGTGGGCTGTGACAGCAAGGGCTTTTTTGGAGTTAAGGGATGGCTGGTTTTAATATCCTATTGCTTTGTATTGGTATGTGTCATTGGGTCTGTCCTGGTTGTAGCCTTTAGCCTGCTGGTGTCAGGAGTTAGTGTCTTCTTCATCTGGTTGGTGAAGACCAAGCTGCAGAGCCTGGCCATGTCGTGTTTGTTCAGCGCTGTCTCCGTCATCTCATGGAATGCGCTGGATGTCATTGGTGTGGAGCTCTACCCCACACAGCTGAGGTGAGCGAAGATCGGTTTCTGAGACGGCTTTTTGTTTTTAGTTTGTTGAGAACTGTGAACTTTGTACATACTTTTCCTCCAGAAAGTGTTTCACTCGCATGTGCATGAAATAAAAACATTTTAACTTCTGAGACAAACTCCTGACTGTCTTTTAAGGGGAAGTGGGGAAAAATTTCTCCCAACAAGTTGCAGGAGGGTTTTCAGTTTTTCAGGCTTTTTTCAGCTGCTAAAAAGATAAATCCCTCAGGATATTGACCAACAAGCAGAGGAGACTGTCTTGCCCTGCTATCAAACCGATTCACAACTGGTTCTGTTCCTTTTCAAAAACCCAAGATTGCAGCAGAGACAAAAGGGGCCAGTTCTTGCTGAATTGCAAAATGTCTCATGTACAGAAATCAAAACCCTTAACTTGTAGTGAATGAAAATGTGAGGCCTCATATCTTTTACATTAAATGTGTGAGTTAGTACCCTAATTCTTTTCTTCCCTTTTACCATTGCCCAAACAACAGGCAACAAACCATCTTCATTTGATACTTTTAGTTTCTGGCCTTAAATTAACTTGTACTCTGGCACTTATCCCAGGTCTGGAAGGATTCAGTTTAAATGGCTTATAAAAAAATGATATAAGAATGGTATAATGTGCTTCTCTTGCAGCCCCAAGATTGCAGATGCTTGTTCAAAAACCTCTAGCTGAAGGGTCTTCTCTTACCTTTCAGGTCTTCAGCTCTTGGGTTCTTCACCGGTGTGGGCCGAGTGGCAGCCATTCTTGGCAACCTGGTGTTTGGTCAACTCTTGGACACCAGCTGTGCTATTCCAATCCTGCTGGTGGCAGCTCTCTTATTCAGTGGAGGACTTTCAGCAATACTGCTGCCTCGGACCCTACAAACAGAGCTCACATGAAGACCAAGAACCTGCAACCCTTGACTTCAGACTTTTGCCTTCAGTAAAAACACCTGGACCCTTTGCTTTATACTGTAGGTTTTGTATTCTGTAATAAAACTTGTTTTATTTGTATTTTGGCTTTAACTACTTTTGGAAAAAAAAGCTCCATCCTAGAATGGGAAATTATGGGTTATTTATTTGCCAAGGTCAAACCAGTAACTCAATATTTAGAAATTGGTATATCTGAACCCATTCTAAAAATCCACTTACAAATTAAGGTTTCTAACATATGCAAATGTTTTTAAAGGAACCTGCAACAATTTGAAATTTTTAGGTACCATTCTGAGCCTCAAATCTATTCAACCTGTAGATTACATTACAGGTAATTACATTTATGGAATGTAATTGTGAATGGTTTAATATCTTAGCAATACTCAGGTCCTCCAATTGCATAGTGGTTTAATAAGATTGCTTGCAAGCATACTTTGCAAAAAAGTGATACTCAATTAGTCCCAGAAATACAACCTAAAAAGCAAGAGAATGCTGGCAGGTACCCACAATATACACAATAGTCCACTCATCTGGCAAGCATCAGGTTTCTTCACAACAGCAATAGCATTTAGTCTTTACTCTGCAAAGCTATCAGATGGTCATTTTTAATCTCAGCTACAGTAAATGTTCCAATTTACAGGGAAGTTCATATGATGAAAATGCAAAATGTTGTAATTGACATCACCAATTTAAATGTTGCTGCACTTCATACTTTTGGCTACCCACCTTTCAGCTTGCAAAAAGTAATTCCTTAAAGGAGGAAAATAAAATGCATATTCAACCAGAAAGCCAGGAAGGAGGAAGGTTATGCCAAGAATAAAATGGATCATTGGCCAAGCTTTTGCAGCAAAGATATGCCAGGTAAAGGGTACAAGGAGAACATCATGACCATGGTTTAAGAGAAGGAATTGCAACTGCAAATTGCTTCTAGACCTTACACTTCTGTAACATTGTAGGTCGTTAAACCTAGGAGACTGAACAAAAGAGGCATAAACTCCTAGTGTCAATTGTTTGGTGCTTAATCCTAAGGATGCTGCATCCATAAGCTTAATGGGTTTGGCCAGCTTTTCAAGTTCTTTGAACCTTCACTTTTCTACTAACATACACGAGTTATGAAGGCTCTGTACTTGTAGTTTTTAATACCAGTCATGCCAAGAGCACCAGCTTTTACACTTGAGCTTCACAGATTTAGTGCTTCCCTGTTAATAAACTGCAATTGACGAAATTGAACTGCCCCAGCTCCATCAATCAGTACATGACAAAAAAAGGTAGCATCCAATCTTGGTGGAATAAGAACCTTGTCTGCTGAAGTACAGGTTAGGAACTGCAGTTCTGGGAATCCCCAGATACAACTGGAGAATTCAAGTGTCAACTTGACATGTCATGTGGGTGCATTTTACAAACCAGTACAATCAAGTAATGCTTCAACACCTTTATTTGTGCCCAACATCAGTAGAACATCATACTCCACATCTGTAGGTAACCGCAGCAAAGTTTGCAGACCACAATGAGGTAGAGACCTTAGAACACTAAAAAGCAGCTGGGCTAGGCAACATCGCAACAAGCTCAGCAGGAGAAAAAAAAATAAAAAAAAAGATCTTTGGCACACTGCTTCAGATTAACCTAAAAGGGAGGGGTGGGAGGGGGAACAAAAGCTGCATTAGGTCAACTCTAGCTCCTAGTACATTCTAGGGAATCTAAAAGTTCTCTACATTCAACAGTAAACAAGCAACATCTCAAAAAAAAAAAGGGGTCATGGTCATAATAACACCTGCCCTTCTGCGGATGTACAAAAAGAAAAGTGATTAAAAACCACTAAATCTACCCCTCTCAAGTGCAAATTAAAAAGTGAAACTTGATTAAAACTATATACAGAAATCCAAGTCAATATCCAGTCCAGTTTCATTTCCATAAATCTAATCATTTGAATTGAAAAAAAAACTGATATTCTACCAACAGCCCCAGACACGCATGGGGGAGGGGAAAAAATAATTTAAAAGCCGCCAGGTAGATTTCCTTTTCAGATTCTCCCCATGTTGTCACGACTTAAAACTGTTGTGTAAAAAGAACTGGTAAAAAACGGCGTAAAAATTTCTGAAATGCAACTGGTTAAATTAATCCCAACTCTCATCTTCCAAAGTAAAAAACACCAGCTGGCTGCACATGAAAACAGCAGACCAGATGGAGAGAAAAAAATTTAAAGGCACTGTATGGCAACTGCCAAAGTGAAAGGCAATGATACTTGCATTATTGTTCATCAATATGCAAGGTATGAGGGAAAAAAAAAAGAAGCTTGTTAAAAATCAAGGAGAAGGCGTTTGCATCAACACCTGAACCCTGGCCTGGATCTCTCCAGCTGTGGCGACGAGTCTGGGAACTGCATAATGATGGGCCCCTGTCACCCGAAAATGTCACTGTGCACAGTGCCATTGTGAATAAGTAAACAGCAAAAAAGTAGCAAGTGCAAGTGAACTTTCTACAGTATTCTCTTGGGAAGTCCTCCTAGAAATGCTGTCCCCCCGGTCGAGGAACCAGCACTCTCTCCACGCTGGGTTCCACAGAAACCCCTTCTACAGCAGAAACTACAGCATCCATGCTTCAGCTTAACTGGAGTCACGGTTCTTTTGGTTGCGCATCAGCGGGCGATGGTTACTGAGGATGTCCATCGAGTGCTGCCAGTGCCAGCAGGAGCGACAGTAGTACTTAAAGCATGCCTGGGGAACACAAGAAAAACACTCATGAGGACATGGCTAAAACCAGCTTATTGTCCCCCCCCCCCTCAAGATTCACGTAATTCTCTTTGGGAAACTACCAGATTGAGTACAGACCACATACCAAAACATGGTCAACCCCCTTAAAAGTGTACTTCACATCACTTCCCCCACAAAGAATCCACTTCCTTTTATACAGCTCAACCGTCTCCATTCAGTCACGTGGGATAAAGGCCAAATGTTCCTTCACCTGATCTCTGCAGAAGAATGGACCTGGCTGGCGATTGCACACTTGGCACATTGAGTCTTCTAGGTATGGATCGATCTGAACCTGAGGAACACAATATTTGTTTTAAATATGGAACTCAACTCATGAGCATCTGTTCACACGTTAGGCCAAACAAATACAAAAAAAAAAGATGCATCCTTACCTTCTTTGTAAACTTGGAAGTTTTGATCTCCACAAAAGCTGCACTAACTGCCTTCAGGTAACTACGCTGGCTGTTAAACGTCACACGCCCAGAGCCTGATTGCAGAAAAAGAAAGTTTAGGTTCCACTGAAGGACTCAAACTTAAAGCAGTCTATCAGGTTGACAATTTGCAGTGAAGAGAAAAAGGAAGACTGCCTTAAGGGGTTCAGATTCAAGGGAGCTGCACATCACTTCCACTGCAACAAGGCACTGTTTCAACGCAAGTCAGCTTGCCACCTACAGGTTAAGGTGCTGTACACTTAACAGATCAACCAAACCAATAGAACCAAATGAGCAGTTTAGGAAGCAACTGGATTTTAAGATGACCAAAGACACTTGTTCCGATTGGCTTAGTTGGTTATATAAGGACCCAGGAATGGTCCCTGGTACTATTTGGGTGGGTGAATATAGCTAACCTTGTAGACAGACGGAATTCATCTTTACCTATTGGATATTTGTGCTTGTCGGTATCAATCCCAGCATATATCACTCCTCCAAACAAGTCATTCATGATGGTGGCTAGAGCCTCTGCATTGAGCATCCCATGCAGAGCCCCTACAAACACAGTCTTGCTGGGGTCCAGCCGTTGAGAAGAGCAGCGTGCAAAATTACTGTCCGAGATGACCCATGGAATAACCTGCACCTGCAGAGCACAGGAAGACCAACAGCACATCTTTACAAGAGGCTTCTCCCCCCCCAAACTAAAATATTGACATGCTCAGGGATGACTGAAACAGCTCGCAAACGGAGTATAGTTTTAAGTTGTAGAGGAGTCATCCCCAATTGACGTTGGGGGTCAATGTAATGTTTTTTGTAAATTGTGCTGGACTAATGGATGCAAACAAGAGGCCCTTCAGCCCCATTTAGCACATCTGGTATTTAGTAGTTAATTAATCCCAGGTGTATCCTGGAAGAAGCCAGGAAATTGTCTTCAACGTGGTGGGGAAATTTGGAACAAACTTCAACAACCTTCTCCACCAAAGCCAAATGTGCAAGGCAAGTTCCTTGCAAGATGGATTCTCTCAGACGAGTTTAAAAACATGTGCATTGAGGGGTTTTGAGCTACCACTTAAGAACCACTGGAATAAAGAGCAGGTCAAGATGTTCAAGACAGTGGGAGCTATGAGAGAAACTGGATTCAATCCCACTTACATCCTTGCAGCGCATCCTTCGGCTGGACATCTTGAAGAAGTACTCGCTTAGGTCATCTGGGTTGAGCAGGTCCTGAGTGCAGGCCTGGAGCAGAGCACGTACAGACTTCTCCGACTCAAACACCAGGTATACGTACCCTGTCAGACAGCACGCAGTCACTTCAGAGCCCCGAAACCCCCCCTCCATCCACTGCATAGACCTGCTGCTGCACACATCCTCCGCATAGTGTGAAGATGTGGCAGGGGATTTTCAACAGAACAATGTTTGCATGTTCCAGAGGGTGAAAAAAACATTCTTGAAGTCATTATACAAATTCAAAAGGGAAACTAGTCCAATGTCCTTTAGGCACTTGGCAGCAATGATGAAAACATTTTTGTAAAAGAAAAAAAAAGATTTATGCATTTCCTAGTACTGCACATGAGCAGATGTAAAACTGTTTCTTTGGATACATTTAGCCAAAGCAGCAAATCTGAAGAGGATGTTGCTTTCATATTTTCAGTGTTGCCATTAGTAGTCCATGCAGGTACCCACCTTCCCACACATCTACAGTACTGCCTTTATTAGTCCGTGCAGGTAGCCATCTTTTCACCCAAGTGTCACCTCAGACGGTCCCCTTGGAGTGCTTAAGAAAATTAAGACCTACCTACATTTTATTACCTTTTGGCATATTACCTTTCGGTGGGCAACGAGGGTGCTTGCCATCCTTACCAGGCCACTCAACACTCAGGGGCCCGAACACACGAAACGTGCTGATCAGTCCAGCTGTAGAGCAGACGTTCAGCCTCGGTTAACAGGCAATCAAGGCAATGATGCTGCACAGGTTTACACCCGAGTTCCATTATAACTAAGTGGATGTCACAACGTGACAGGTTCACCGCAAAGCCAACCCAAACTAATTCAGCATAAAAGGTATGTTCTAAAAGCTTTAGTGCTTTATTTTGCCCTTCATTAACTTTAAGACCAAGCCATTTGGATAGGTAAGCAGAGGAACTACCTTCAGTGATATCCCAAGGTACTCCACCAAGGAAGACCTTACAAGAATACAGAGGGTTCTTGTAGTTTCTTGGAGGCAGCTGTCCACTCCAGGTGAAGGTGGCTTCATTCACAGCTGAGGAACATCACAGTATAGAGCAAAAACCCGTCACAAAAGTTATCACACCAGCATACCACTTTGGATTTCCAAATTTACAAACGCCATGCCAGTCCTCAGAAATGTAATGCACTGAAGCAAATGTTACAAGGTTATGAAAAAACAGGGAACCATTTTCTGCTAGGCAACAAATAGATTCAGGGCTGCTATTCTGACAGGGATGCATCAGTGAGAGACCATGACAAACCCAAGTGGACTTTACCTGCAGCCTGCCTGTGCAACCTGGCCTCTCTCTCAATGCTGAAAGGACCATCCGGACTGTCCAACAGGTCCCAGCTGGGCCACACCGATGCCCCAGGCCATCGCTTAGCCAGACTGGTGGGGGTGGTTACATTGGCAGCAGAAGCCAGGGAGAGTTGGTCCTGGTCAAGACGAGAACCCCCATCCAGCTTCAGGGGGTCTTTCTGCATGTTCCCCATCAGGAAAGGCAAGGGAGGGGAGATCCTCAGGGAGGACTGTAGAAAATAACAGCTTTAAATCCCAAATGACTTTGGCAGAGAAATTTTAATTCCAAGTACCCCACCTACCCCTAACATGGTTTCAAGAACCTGAACATGTCAAATCAAATTACTTGAATGGAAAAAAAGCCACCAATAATAACAGAACAAGACTTGAGACCCAGGTTATCTTGGAACCAGAAAAGGAACAGCTAATGTCCTCCGAGAACTCCACTTACAAGCAGGTCACAAAGATGGTCTGACCCAGAGCTGAAGCCACTCAGCTCCGAGTCCGCTGGGCTGCTGGAGCGCGAGTCGAGCAGAGACCGCGACTCCAGGCGCGAGTTCCGGGGGGCCATGCCTGGAAACCGATCCAGAAAGTCGGTTCCAATGGGATCCAAGGGTGGTAAGCCAAGGGGTTTGCCCAGTATGTTGCCAAGAGGGCTGTTCAGCATGCCTAACACTGGGGGGGAAGACAAATGGAACCAGGGACCAAAAGTGATTAACAGGCATCTGTTCAGTTCCGCAAGTTTTCCTGGATAGATCCTCTATGAACAGACAAAGGATTACGCAACAGTAGTTTTGAAACATACAGTAACCTAAACTATCCCCCAAAAAATCTGCCAGGCCATGGGCTAATCCAGTCATTTAATATAGTTTCAGTCACAAGGCAAAATGGCACCGCCTGTCAACACCCACTCCAAATGCTCCTATATTAAACCGAGAACTTAACCCCTGTACAACAGGCATCAAGCATCACAGTTTACAAGTTACCAATTGTAGAAGCCCTTAAAACAAACCTATCAATTTTTTAAACTCAAGTAAAATGTCAGCTGCATGAACCTGGCCATTACAGAAACGCAGGAGTTTTAAGGGGACATTTTTCAAATTACATTCATGTACACAGCTTTTTTATACCCCTGAGAACTGGCTAAATTAAAAAAATCCTACAGACTAGCTAAAAAGGCTAATACCTCAGAGGTATGCAATACTTAACACCTCTGAAAAACCCCTAATATTCAGATGCAAGCAGCTAAGCCCACAGACCAAAATTATACCAAGACTGTCAAAACATTGTAAATGGAGGCAGATTTCATAATTAAGATAGCCAAATTCATATCACTTGACCAACCATTTCCTTGTTGAAAGGCTAGCTTGTTTTAATATCTGACAGTGCATTCTACTGTTCCAATTCTAAATCGGACCATTTAACAAAGGATAATGGGTTAAAAGCATCCTGTATATTTAAAAATAATGGAAGCAGATTATAGAAGACTCTGTCAACTTAGTGAAAGGATGATTCAGAGCAAGATGTATGCCACAGACAGTTGTACACGTTTTAAATAGCACATTTAAATAACTCACTCAAAAACAGCATTTGGACTAAAACTTCAAATGGGCTGTACCAGACTTCCACAAGCTGTTACCAGTTCACATGATTGGATGCCGATTGAGATGTTAAACCCGAAACAAAGCATTGTAAACAATAAGCTGAGTGAATAAATTAAGAAATTTATCTTCGTACAAGTCCCTATTGAATTGGTTTCTTGAAACAATGTTCTTATTTTACAGTACTGAACACATAGCACTTTTTTACATTTTTAAACTATTTGCATCAAGATTAAGAACACCGAGTCTTTGCTATAAAGACATCTAACAAACCTCCCTATGCGTCTTGGGACTTTTAGAATAGGGATTCTTATTGCAACAGTGCATGACTCAGCTACAGCGGAGACAGGGTTTTAAACGTGTTACACAAAAATCAGATGACATCGAGTCACTACCTGGAAAGCCATTTCATGAATTTCAATTGCTAGTGGCCAGCCTAAGAGGCCTGGTATGCCCCCACCCCCTACAGAACAAGTTTCTGAAGCTGAAACCACCATTTGAGATACAGAAATCACAAAAGGTACTGGCAGGACACCGAAACTACCTAGTAATTAAGGGAGAGTTACAGAATTCACTTCCGAGAGTAGTAACCTGTATTTTACCACCAGGACCTGCACTGAGTGCTACAGTGAGTTAAAGGAACAATATTCCTCAGGCCGAAGACGGCCTAAATCAGAGCCACTTTCAAGAGCAGAGATGAGTACCAAGTGAAGCATCTTCAATTGGTCCTGTACCCATCTTTAAAGTCAAGTTACTACACAAATCTACACAGAGCGATGGAGGTAATGAGATTGCTTTTTACAGCCCATCAAAGCTAGCAGGGATGCATTTAACCTTGTGACATTAGGATGCTGCTTGAACCTACTGTACAATAAGGGGGAAGAGTCTTTCAGAAAGTTAAAAATACACCAAGCAGGGATGGTGCTCACTTTGGACCGTGGGAACTTACAGGCTAAGCACAGTTCTTTCTAGAAAGAGCGTCACAGAAATAGGTCTGTCGATGCAAATCTCTGCACAACCCACATCTGTCAGGGAGCTAGCCAGAGCAGCAATTCAGCTACTGAATTTCACAAACTGTACCATAAACCTCAAACTGCTCAGAGCAGACCATTCACAGCTTATGCTATTCCGAAAAAAAAATCGTCACTTCCCTGAATCTCAGAAAGGCACCTTAAGCAAATAGTATCAGTTAAAACCGCCACATCACGAAAGCCCATTTACCAGATTTGTACTTACTAGAGGGACTGCTGGTCTGGGCCGAGCTTTCAGCATCTGGGTTGCTCCATGGACGGTCCCACCCGGACAAGCTGAGGGACTGAAGGCCTAAACCCAGGTCGTTGACATCAGGTAGGACCCGAGAGGATTCCTGTGTTGTGCTGGGGAAAAGCATCCTGCTACCAACTGCAGATACGTCCGAGTCCTGCAGGTCTGCGAGTGTGGAGAGAACAGTGTTCAAGCACCAGCTCGGAAGTTAAGCAGAGAAGAAAAATCCTATTTGTAAAAACAACAACAAAAAAAAAAAACAGGCAGCTACTCTCCCTCAGGTCTGCCAGAAACTAGAGTAGCTAACCTGCAACTGTGCCTGGTGTGGCTGCCATGCATCTCCGTCTGCATCACTGACCCACCTAGCATGTGACCCGGGTGCTGATGCACTCGCACACTCCTGCTAATGACATCACCCCCTCCTTTCCACTTGCAACAGCATGCAATAACAAATGAAATTCCTTAGAAATTTCACTCCCAGACCGAGAATCACGCAGTGTGCTCTGAAGCTCCAGCGCTGTCTAGCCTACTTTTCCATTCCGTGCGCAGCTCCAGAAGCAGCGACAGCTGGGAAATAAAGGAGATCTCCCTGCTGTATTGTGCTGGCTCCAGCCTGCCAGCAGCACAGGCAGTCAGCTGCTGCCGTCTGATCAGAAGTTGGAGAACGAGCTATTTGCCCTGCCAGCTCCCCATCGCTCTTCAGAGCTGGACTGTCTCCAATTGCTGGCTACAGCCCTGATTCAGCAACTCCAGTCCGAGAAGAACAAATCTGCTCACATAATCACTTTGCTTCAACTTGGATGTCACTGCCCATCTGGCACTGCATTGTTTACCAGATATTAGACAGTCTTCTGAATTATCGACTACTGGGGCACAACAATAACTATAAAACGCCCGACGTGGTGATCAGAAGGCAAAAAACTAGAACTTAACCTAGAGATTAATGCATGTCAGTCCACCATGCTAACAGTTGTAACAAACCTCCTGCAAGAGCTTGTGAGACTCCTAAAGCATTTCCAAGTGCACCAAGGATGGCAACCCTTTCCCCAGTGGGCTCACAAAGCAGTGGAAATGGCATAAATATTTGT